TATATATATATATATATATATATATATATATATATATATATATATTTCATAAAAATAACCAATATCCATTATATCAGTAAACCTGAGTATTCAACGGAATCATTTTCAACTCATTATATACTCAGGATAGTTACATAACTTTTTTTTTTCTTTTTACTAAGCTAGTTTAGTCAATCAGAGAAATGGAATCTCGAAACGGCTGGTGTGACTAAGCACAGCTTGCATTCGTGAAACATTTAAGCAACCATAACGCGAGTAAAACGTTTAAGGATAATTCATTCGCTTACAGACAGGGCGCAAAAGAAATTAGATGGAAATTACGTTCATTTGTAAACGGCGGTGCATTCTACATGAACAGGGAAGGAGTTCTTCGGGGAGGAGAGCTTTGCTTCCAAGAAACCACGCTCCCCTTGAAATGACACTTTTCGTTCCGGTTTTCCATGAAAATCCAAGCCTTCCGACCAACGAAAGAAAACCTCCGCTCTCGAATAATTCACACGAACACTCTCCTGGCTCGAGAGTCCTCGTTTTCCTCGGATAACCTTTGAATCGTTCATTCCGTCTGCGCTTTTGTAGAAATCGATATTTTAAGAGCAGATACTTCGAATAATTCAGAGGCTGGAGTGAGGGGGGAAAAAAAAGAAGGCGCAGAAAGAGAGAGAGGGAAAGACGTTCGATTCACAGAAGGAATAATAACGAGTGATGCAATTAGACTTTTAATAAGACATTGAACTATACAAGCCTCGAACGAAGATAGAATATAGAACCCAGAAATATAATATTCATAATTACGCCTTCTATAATGTGCGTTGTAGCGCTCCGATACGAGGAAGGAAAAGTAGTAAGATCTACTTTTTACATCGTAAGTCGAGCTTCCTGACGAAGAGTTCAAGCTCTCTGAAACAATGGAAGTCGACCTTGCAGATCTTGCAGAAGGCGAACAAGTAAAAAGCTTTTACAGAAATAAAACAAAAGAAAGATGGCAAAAAATGTGTTGGTGAAATTTTAGAATTTAGTTTAAATTAGAAAAAGATAATTTAAAAGGTGATAAAATATATTGACGAAAACATTGTTAATAACATGGAAGAAAAAAAAGACTGACACTACACATCACGATGAAGAATTGCAAAATTAAGTAGGAATAAAATAGTTGCACATCAACAGTGATATCGTCTAATAAGTGAGATCTCACTTATGTTCTAGTTCACTATCGACGACTATCGTTCACAATCATTTAGAACTTGTACTACTGAATTGCGCAGTGCAAAAGATAAAGCCAACTAATCTGTACATTGAAAGTGTATTTCTATCGTGTGATATATTCATTAAAGTATAATGTTATAAAATATATAATATTTCCAAGTCACGAGAAAGTCGTCTAAAAATTTTCATATCAAAAAGCCAATGTGACTAACGTGTTAAATTTTGTATTTGCCGACGTAGAGTAATAATAGTAACAATTATCTTACTGACAAAATTTTGGTATTATCAACATTTTTATCGTAACATTGTAATTATGTTTCTTTTTTCTGTTGAAGAAAATTATCTGTTTTTCTCAACGTGATTTAAGTCAAACAAAAGCAAAATTGTACTTTATTTTTGAGAAAGAAAATATATGCAGATATCAAATTTTGTGATCTATCGAGAGAGAAATATCACGACCCTTCATAAATATCAAGTTTAATAATTTCAAAGCTTAATCTCTTCCTTTTTGTTTCTTGGTATTCCCCCTTATCCCATTATGAATCTGATACAAGATTAAATTTCATTTTTATCAAATTTCCTTTAACGAGCAAATTTCTTTAAAAACACAAACATTGGAAAAAGATAAACGAAACACGGCACGATTCTCTTTCATTTGCACAACAATTTGATATACCTCGACTTGAATTAAACTAAAATCTTATCTCACCGTTTCAAGCCCTACAAATTATATCGTATTATAGTTTATACGATTTTCAAAAATCGTTCCGCAGACAAATGTGGATTTGACATTGAAAATTATTCCAAGACGAGGATTTTAAAATATATTCTTCGACAGATAATTTTTTTTTTTTTGTTCTCTCTCTCTTAACAAACGTTGAAATTATCCGAATGATCGAGAAAAATGATAGCAGAATTTCGATGCGTCGAGGAAATAAATATTTCCTCAAGCAATTAAATATATAAATCCGCAGTCTATAACAGGTATCAGCGGTAAGTCGATCATTATCCAAAAAGAATCAATTCCTATTGAGATTAATGACTTGAAAGATTTACTTTGTAAGATTCTCTCTTATCAGCGTGTGTCAATATTTACGCGTCAAGTGCCTGAGATTAATAAGAACGAGAGATTCAACTTTACATACGCCACGAATTACGCTACGATTAAAAAAAGAATGGGAATTCCGTCTTACGAAATCACGAAACATACAACATAAAATTCTGCAAAAATATTTGAAAGAATATTTTACAAAATATGCAACAACGTTAACATAATTTCCTTCGGACCTTTTATGACATTATTTTTTCCTCTACGTATCTTTTCATCTGCACGAAATTATCTCCTCTGAAAATTCTAGCCAATTATAAAATATCACAACACGTCGTCGTGATTCACACATGCCAATATATGGCCCGCGTTTATCAACGAACGAGGTTTTCTAAAATTTCTTAATAAAAAATTGCGTTCCAAACGCATGAGATAACTTTGCAAACGCTTTCGCTGCTGTTGGAATTAAACGGAGCCATAAATCATAGTACATCGCGCACGATATTAGAATCATTGGGTCACTGGTAAACCGTGAACGAACCTTTTGAACGAACCCGGCGGAACGTCTGTAGCATGAGTATGTACGCCAACATTATCAGAAAATAATTAATCACGGCAATCGGCTGAATCGCGAAATCTATTTGTGTTGATACAACACAGATCA